ACAGGGCTGTGGGAGGCAGATGCCTCAGCCCAGGCCTCCTCTCGGCAACTACACCAGCTCCCAGCCTGCCCTCCTGGGCCCTGGACACACGCTTGGAAGACCGGAGGCCTGGGCTTGGATTGTGGCCCCTTTCTCATTCCCCATGCTCATTTCTCCTCCTACCAGCAGGGAAGGGGGAGCTCTCAGGGTCTCTGTAAGGGGTTGGAGCTTAATTCCCCGTCTGTGGGTTCTGCCTCTCCTCAGAGCAGTCTATTCCCTGAAACCATTTCCATTCCTCTTAGTGTACTCTGTCTCCATCTCGGGCACCTGGGTTCTCTTAATGACCCATTACCCCTGAATACTTAAAACACTGGGCAACCCTCCTCCGCTGTTGGTGGGACTGTAGTTTGGTGCAGCCATTATGGAAGACAATATGGAGATTCCTCAAAAAACTAAAAATAGACTTAATATGATCCAGCAATCACACTCCTGGGCATATATCCAGAGGGAACTCTAATTTGAAAAGATACATGCACCCCAATATTCACAGCAGCACTATTTACAATAGCCAGGACATGGAAGCAACCTAAATGTCCATCAACAGATGACTGGATAAAGAAGTTGTGGTATGTTTATATGATGGAATACTACTCAGCCATAAAAAAGAATAAAATAATGCCATTTACAGCAACATGGATGGACCTGGAGATCATCATTCTAAGTGAAGTAAACCAGAAGAAGAAAGAAAAATAACATATGATATCATTTATATGTGGAAGCTAAAAAAAAAGACACAAATGAACTTATTTACAAAACAGAAATAGACTCACAGACATAGAAAAAGAATTTATGGTTACCACAGGGGAAAGGGGGTGGAAAGGGATAAATTGGGAGTTTGAGACTGCCAGATACTAACTGCTATATATAAAATAGATATATAAGTTTCTTTTGTACAGCACATGGAATTATATTCAATATCTTGTAGTAACCTTTAATGAAAAATAATATGAAAATGAATATATGTATGTTTATGGATGATTGAGACTGAAACATTACACTGCGCACCAGAAATTGACACGTTGTAAACTAATTATACTTCAATCAAAAAAATAAATAAATAAACAAACACTGTGCAACTTGCAAAAATGAGGAACACAGGGCTTTCCACAAGCCGAGGGAGGTTTTGTGAGGGGAGGGTGACCTTCAGTGCCCACTGAGCAGTGGGCAAGGCCACTGCACTGATGGGTGGCATGCCCCTCTCCTCTCCTCACTGGACCACCTGATCACCGTCCAGCCAGCTGGGAAGCTCTCTATTGCCGATAAACCTGGCTTGGGGTTCTCAGGGATCTAAGTCCCCAGCCTCCTGCTGCACATGTGAGACCACAGCCAAAAAAGAATTATTTTGTGGGGAAGTGAGAGATCAGAGGCTGTGCAGATGACCCCCTGGCTGGGCCCTTTCGGCTGGCCTGAGGGTTGCAGTCCGCCCCCGTGTTCCGCACTGTGGCTATCTCATACTGGGTTTTGGATTTGTTTTACCCAGATGTATGAGCTTGCATTTTTCCAAGATGAATCTCATCTGGCCATTTCCTGTTCCCACTTCCAGTTCAGAAAGGCCCCTGGGGCTGATTTTTCAGTCCTCGTGACCTTCGCCAAACCTCCCCGTGGAGCATCTTCTTTGAAGTTCGCTTCAGTGCTGTTGGTGCCTGTCCTTGGCCTGTGGGGCCAGGACTCAGCCCTGGCTCTGGGGCCCAGCACCCCCCGCTAGTTCCTGTCTCCTGCGAGCTACTTGCCAGCAGCATTCCGGAGAGTGTGTGGTCAGACCTTGGATGCTGCTGGTCTGCAGCTCCTGAGGGCCACTGGCCCAAAGCTCTGGCCTCTCGTGCTGGCCCTGGGCCTTCCTGAGCCATCCACCCCCTCACCGTGGGTTTGGGCTATACCTGGTGTATTGTCAGCTCGGGTGGACACAACAAAACACCACAGACAGGACAACTTAAACAACAGAAGCTGCTTTCTCATTGTTCTAGAGGCCGGAAATCCAGGCTCATGGTCCTAGCAAGGCAGGTTTTGTTTGAAGGCTTTCTCTGTTGGCTTGTAGGTGGCGCCATCTCGCTGCATGCCCGCACAACCTCTTTGTGTGCTACCAGAGAAAGGCGGGGGAGGGGGAGGCAGGAAGGAGGGAGAGGGACCGAGAGAGAGACCTTCCTCTTCTTATAAGGCCACCAGTCCTGTGGATTAGGACCCCACTCTTACAACCTCATTTAACTTTATTACCTCCTAAAAACCCTTTCTCCAAAGACAGTCACATTGGGGGTTAGGGCTTCAACATATGAATTTAGGGGAACACAATTCAGTCCACGATATATTTGGTATATTTGGTCCCATGGCTGCTGTAACAAATTACCACAAACTGGGTGGCTTAAAACGATGGAAATCTATCCTCTCCCAGTTCTGAAGGCCAGAAGTCTAAGTTCCAGGGGTGGGCAGGGCTGTGCTCCTTCTGGAAAGCTCTAGGGGAGGAGCCTTCCCATCTGTTCCTGCTGCAAGTGGCTCCTGGCATCCGTGGGCTTGTGGATGCGTCCCTCCGATCTCTGTCCCACCTCCAGTGGCTGCCTTCTCTTTGTCCTTCCCCTTTTCTTAGGAAGGGGTCACCAGTCATTGGGTTGAAAGCCCACCTTTTATTCAGGATGACCTCATCTTGAAATTCTTATCTTAATCACACCTGCAAAGACCCTTACGGCAAATATGGTCACAGTCTGAGACTCCAGATGGGCATAAATGGGGGGGGGGCCAGGGAGCATCATTCAACCCACTACCCTGAGTCCATCACTCTGACCCAGGCTCAGCTCTGAACTCTGCTGGTGGTCTCCATGACCGGGGCCGGGAGGCCAAACTTCCCTGGTCTGCAAAGATCCGCCAAAGCCGCAGTGTTCAGTTTAGGACAGGAGGAGATGTGCTAGTGTTGGGGACTGTGGCTTGCCATGGGCCTGGCAGGTTACGTAACAAAAAGAGATGCTGTATTTTTGAGAAACCATGCTGCCTTTTCAGGAGGAGGTGGGTCCCTCTGATTGTTGGGTGGTGTCTATGTCCATTCGGGCCACTGGAACACATACCAGAGCTGGGTGACTTGTAAAAGAACAGGCCTTTCTTTCTTACAGTTCTGGATGCTGGAAGTGTCAGATCAGGGCGCTGGCAGATCCAGGGCGGGTGAGGGCGCTCTTCCAAGTTGCAGACTTCTTGCTGTGTCCTCATATGTCCAAGGGGTGAGACCTGGCACCTCTTTTATAAGGGCACTAATCCCACATCAGAGGGCTCCACCCTCATAGCCCAATCACCCCTTAAGCCCCCACCTCCTAACACCAGCACCTGGGCCATCAGGGTTCCAACGTGGGAACTCAGGAGTGCACAGATGAGCTCTGTGTAAGACGGAGGTGGGGGAATTGGAGGCCTGGGGCAGGATCTGGAGTGGGAAGACCGGGCCAAGGGGCGGAGAAGATCCCTGACTCCCTCCTGCCATGGGGACTTGGCCAGAGAATGATGGAGAAGAGATGTGTCCTTAAAATGAGGGCTCTTTGCGTTCATTTGTCCAACCAGCCCTGACTCAACATGGCTGGCAATAGACAGGGTAGGGGAGGCGGGGTCAGGGGTCTGGAAGAAGTACAAGAGGGATGACTGCTGG